CTCTCTCTCTCTCTCTCTCTCTCTCTCTCTCTCTCTCTCTCTCTCTCTCATACACACACACACACACACACACACACGCACACACACACACACACTGTGCTGCAGTCTAGTCATTTGCCCGTGAATAGGCCACTAAAAACGCACATATGTGCAGGAAAAGAAAATAAAAGGCAGCGATGGTGGCACGTTGTCTTGGTTTTGAGCTTTGGACCGTTGATGTGCAACCACTGGGTTTCTGTCTCCTTGTTCATTTTCTTGTTGAACGCCGATGGGGTGTTTGGCCCTTGTCTCATTTGTTTTTATGTATACAGTTCTGTTTGACGATATATATTATATTTAATATTATTATTATTATTATATATATCATCAAATTGTGGAATGTTTTGCTGGCACTTCATTTGCAAAGGGGGTGGTTTGTTTCCACACACGCTAATGCAATCAGACTCGTTTTCACTTCCGCTTCACATACATGCAAATAGATGGAGATTCACACTGGCGCAGGGCGCCCACTCAAGGCTTAGAGGTATGGAAGTCAAGAGCACAGTTCAGATGCAAGTTCACTTCAACAAGCTATGGCGCATCGGCGTCTGAGCATCCCAACCTTCGTCACTGTGTCCAACCTCACTGTTCACACACTCTCACTCTGGATCACCCTGAATACCACCACACACACACACTTAATCTCACTTCCTCCTACAGCGGCTATGGCCGCACTACCACTACTGACTATGGCTACGATCTCCCTTCAGCCCACTTCGGGCAACCTGCAGACCACCTTCGCACAAGACGCTGTAGCAGCGCTTCCGCATGGCTTACGCAGCGAATGAATGAATGGCTGGGCGCTGCCTCTTGATTTATACTTCTGTAGCTCGTTGGTCTGCCCCTTTCCCAGGCCCTTGGTGCACACAGTCCCACACGGTACTTGCTTGACTGGACTCTGACTGACTGGGACCGGTACCGCTGACTGCATGGGTTTGCACTGCCAACTCGATGCAGTCACACTGCCGAGGTAACGCAGTTGGGCTCACCACTTGCCCACTTGCCTCTGACTAAACGTGAGACACTTCGAAAGGCCACTTCCGAACCTTCCGGAAGTCTGTGGACTTGGCCTTTCGGGTACTGTAACAGCTATGACCTTGACCTTTCAAAATACCTACAGCTACGACCTCTACAAAGCTGTGACTCCTAATCGACAGACCTACAGATCGAACCCCTATCACTACACAGACCTACGACAGACGACAAACAACTACCAAAACACAGGTCACGGGTTCAAACACTCTGGTGTCGACTCAATACTGTACATGGGCAAAGTGAGGTCTGGGGATCGAACTCTAGGGCCCGCATCTGTGACTGCAGAAAGGTGAAAACCGTTTCACTAAAGTTTTGACTGTTATAATGTGTCATTACGTCTTCGTTGTTCATCTTTTCAAAATTTTGGGCTTGCTTTGTCGTATGCAGCGATCGAACAGCAGGCAGTCCCAGTTTGTCCCAAAGCAACAGTCGGCATGGGATCACTGTATCTTCACAGGCTGTCCCAGTTTGTCCCAAAGCAACAGAGACCAGTGGAACTGACAGGCAGAGGCAGAGCCTCTCTACACAACGAACACCTCTTGTCCTTCACAAAGAAGGGATGTGTGTAGTTTGCCCTGACAAAGGGACACGGGACTTCTGTCCCGACGAAGGGACACGTCTCGTTGGCCCCGAACGAGAGAGTGGGAGGAACGATAACGGTTGGCCAGAGAGCGATCAGGACGAGGAGGGTCTCAGAACTGCTCCTATATTGGAGGAGGGGGAAAAGGAGGAGGAGGAGGAGGAGGAGGAGGAGGAGGAGGAGGAGAAGGCAGTGCTGAAGCTGAACGGGAAGCGTCCTGTGACCGGGGCAGATGTTCCATTCAGGCCACGGGGGATGATGACGGTGGGTCGTCTCGGGAACCGAGTTTCAATGGTTGGTATGGGTAATACTGGGAGTCCACGACGTGAACGAGACGGTGTTGAATTCTCCCAAAGAACAGGAGCGGAAGGCGAAAAGAACAACAGGAGTACCTCTTGTTCGACGCACACTGCTGCAGTGAGAGAGAAGACAGATTTGGTGCCATCACCAGGAGCCCAAAAAGGCGGTCATCGAAATCTGGTGGACCTTCTTCGGGTGGGTCCACCGCTTCCGAAGGGCCGAGCGCGTCCGGCAGGCGTGTTTTGCGGGAAGAGGATTGCTTCCGTGATGTCGTGGCCGGACGACGAAGATGAAGACGGAGATGAAGGCAAAGGTGATGGGGCTGATGCTGCTGGCATGGGAAAGAAACTGTTGGCTATGGGGAACCCTCGGAAGACGATGGAAGACGTCGCGAATGCAGCCGATGACGGGGGTGGCAAGAAGGCGGTAAAGACGGTGAACAATGAAATGACTAAAAATAGAACTGTTGCTGGTGCGAGAGTCGGGAAACCGGACTTCGCTATGATTCCAAGGGCGGCTGGTGGCACTGGTGGCGCTGCTCCATCTACAGTCGTTGCCCCGGAATTGAGGTCAATGCCGGGTGATGGGCAATCTCAAGCGGCTGCTGAGAAAACTGGCGTGGTTGTCAAAGCGGACGAGCATGAGAGCAAGAAGAAGAAGAAGAAGAAGCCATGCAACCTGGCTGAAGGTGATGGGGACGATGACGATGCCAACCCTTGTTCCTCGCCAAGCGTGGAGATTGTGAGTGACTCTGAAGAAGAGGAGGACGAGCAAGAACAAGTACGTGTGCGTGTGTGTGTGTGCGCCTGCCCACGCTCGTGTATGCGTGCATCTGTGGGTGGGTGGGTGTTCAAGTGTGTGTGTGTGGGGGGGGTCCATGTGGTTGTGTGTGTGTGTGTGTGTGTGTGTGTGTGTGTGTGTGTGTGTGTGTGTGCGCATGTGTGTGTTCTATTGAGATGGATACTAAGATACTTCTTTGATTAAAGAAGGAGGTTCTGACTATTTGAAATGAGATGGAAAGTGGTTATTACTGGTTAACAAAGAAAAAAATTTGCAAGAATGATTTGAAGTCTTTGAAGCGCAATTTTCATTAAAGGAACTTGGAGCCTGGGCTACCAGACCGGCACGGGCCCGGCCGCCCGGCCCGGCAGCCGGGCCAGTGCGACGAGGACCCTCCTGCCCGGGTCACCCGGGCGGATAAAAAAGACAATCAAAACTTTTTTTTTTTTTTCACTGATGATGGGGCATTTTTTGCTGCCCTCCGAGAGGGATCCAAATCCGGCTTTAAAGGGTGTGCAATGATTTTCCGTACATTATTTTATTTTTATTTCGAACTCTGTGAAGAATTTGGAAGTGACCGTCGGCCAAAAGTTGTTTGGTTGCTATTCTGCACAACATACTTTTTTTTCAATTTTTTTATTTGTATTCTTTTTTGTTTTTTTCTTTGGTGGGATATGGGCCGGGACCCCGCCCGGCCCAGTTGCCCGGCCAGTCGTCCTGGGTAGGTCCCATGCCAGTTTGTGGGACCCGGGCAGCACGGCTGGTAGCCCAGCTTGGAGCACATTAGACTCTAAGGAGGGCCAAAGAGCAAAAGAACATGTTGTTTTAGGTCTGGTGTGTTTTTCAATATCACTATAAACCCTAAACCTAAATGCAAAGTAGGTGTCAAATGTGTCACTCGCTTATTGCCCGGTGTTGGATTTCTTTCAAACCAATGCGAAATTGTTATATAGGGCCTTGCTCCACTACAGAACACTCTATATGTATCTGGATGCCATAATAGTCACGATACATTCAAAATGCTGGACTCCTCGGAATGCACGTAGTCCAGAAATGCATCCAAGTGCTTGTAGAATGCTGCATAGTGGAGCGAGGCCCATAGCCAAGGGTGAAGTGAGGTGATCCTATATATATATATATATTAAACAGTTTGTCACAGCCCCTCGTTTGTTGTCCTCTTATCTCTCTCTGCCTACGGTTTACCGGGCAGTTCTGTTTGTGACAATATATATTTTTAATGGAAAAGAAAGAAAAAAAAAAGAGGTTAGTAACTTAGCAGCATAGCTGTAGGGTTTAGGGCTTAACCTGCTCAGACTCCCTTAGGCGCTGTTTAGTCTATTTACTATTTACTATTTACTATTTAGGGCTTCTTACTCGGAATATGTCGATGTTGAGCTGGGCCAACTTAGGGTTTTTAGGGTTTAAGCCCCTTTTAAGCCCCTTGATGGTTCTGTTCTGTTTTTTTTTTGTTTTCTCTTTCTTTCTTTCTTTCTTTCTTTTCTTTTCTTTTCCTCCCTGTCATCATGGTATTGGTCATTGGCAGCTGGGGCTAATGTTGCACTTAGTGTTCACGACCCTGTCACTTTTTTTTGCTTTCTGGGTCTAGGCCCCCTTTCAGGCTCTCTACACTCCGGGACCCCGACGACGTGTACCGACATTTCCGGGATGTCGGTGAAGCCACAAAGGTGTGTGTAGCAGGCAGGCTAGTGTATCAGGTGATGCACCTAGAGAAGTTTGGTGAGAAGAAAACCCCTGAGGAAGATGACCGCCTCACCGGGCGGTGATCGAAACCCCTCGGGGAGCCCCTTTTTTTTTGGGAATGATTTTGATGCCCCTTCTTTCAATCACTTGCTGTGCGACAACTTGTTGGTGGACGCATTGTGTGTTCTTTATTATTGCAATAAAGATCACCGGGCGGTGAGCCCCTTTTTTTGGGAATGATCTCGATTCTTGCAATCACTTGCTGTGCAACGACTTGTTGGTGCACGTACTGTGTGTTCTTTATTGCATGCATCATGTGTTGACTGAGGTATGGGATCTAAGGGTTTTTTTTTTGTTTTTTTTTTTTTTTTTTTTTTTTTTTTTTTTTTTTTTTTTTTTTTTTAGTTGAGATCTAAGTATCCTTTCCATATCATAAACTTATCGTAAACCTCTCCACTCTGCGGCTTTCGAGCTTTCTTGGCCTTGTGTGCTTTTTTGCTCGAGGTCCGTTCATCGCGTTCATCGGTCAATAATGTTGTGCACAATTGAACCCTCAAATCGTCTTCACCCGAATAGAACACACGGTCATTATCACTCTATCTAGACTGAAAATTACCCTAAATACAGCGATAATGACCCTACGTTCATTAACGCTGGATGTAGACTGAAAGCTATCTTAATGATGTCGTGCACAATTGAACCCTCAAATCGTCTTCACCCGAATAGAACACATGGTCATTATCACTCTATCTTGACTGAAAATTACCCTAAATACAGCGATAATGACCCTACATTCATTAACGCTGGATGTAGACTGAAAGCTATCTTAAATACAGCTATAATGACCGTACATTTCAATTTGGGGGAAGACGGTAGTGTGCATCTGGATGAGACTTTGGAGAGGCTGTTCCTTGCCACGGTCTTGTTCTTTGTCTTTTCTTCCCCTGCCTTCCCGGTTGTCTAGCCTGTGCTGGGGCAAAAGGTGCATCAAAGGAACTTTGCGGGTCCGCCATAGGAGGGCCCAGGGACATGGCTCAAATTTGCATGGCGGACAGGGGTCCGTTGCAAAGTTTGTGTGTCAGAAGAAGGGTGTGTGTGCAGTAATCAGAAATTGTGGGTCGGCGCACAAATTTTGAAATTACTGCATCGTTCAGGGGCACAATGCAAATTTAACAAACTTTGAACCGCCTTCTGAACTGAAGCCAATAGAAGCTTTTCAAAAGATCTCGAGGGTTGTCCCCTTCTGCGTAAATTATTATTACTGAAAAGGGAAGAGTACACCTTGCGAGTAGTGTCTGTCCCCTTCTTTGTAACTCATTACCCCTTATTTTAGGCATTTTAACGTTGACGTTCCTGGGCGCAATTCGGCATTTTTTGAACCGAAATCGTCAGAGCTTACCGACTTCCGGCCAGTGGGACCTGACGATTTTGGTTTAAAAAATGCCGAAATTGCACCCAGGAACGTCAAAGTTAAATGCGCAAAGGAGTATTATTATTAGAGAGGGAAGAGGGCACCTTGCTACCGTCCTTCACCCGAATAGAATGCCCGGTCATTATAGCTGTATTTGGACGAACTTTCAGTCCACATGTGGCGATAATGACCGAGCAATCTATTCGGATGAAGACGGTCGCAGTTTCTTCAGTCATGAATCATACCTATTGAAAGATACCCCAAATACAGCTATAACGACCGTACGTTGTATTCGGGGGAAGAAGGTAGTTCTCTTCGTGTCGATCTGCTCCATGCAGGCTGAAAAGTCTTCTGTTCTGTCAATGCCCACTTGCCTTCCCGCCTCCTTTTCGGTTTTTCTGACATGCTGTTTGCAGAATCTGGCCTGTAACAGGCAGCGGATTCGTGCATTGCTACGGCAATCAGCAGCAGCAATTCGCCAGCGAGCTGTTGGGTGTAAGGCAAACAGGTTTGCAAATGCCCCACCCGGTCGGGATACGATGTTTTCGAGAGAGCGCGGAAACACTGCTGGCAAATTCAATCGGATTGGATCTGCTTTCCATGATCTTGAAGCAAAGGCAGGTGGGGGAGGAGATCATGAGGAGGAGGAAGAGAGGGGGGAGGAAGGCAAAGGGAAACAGATTTCACAGGCTTCAGTCTCTGGCATTGCTGATGGAACGAATTGCACAATTTGGAGGAGGTTATCTCCTCTGAAGCGGAAGTCGCCTGCGAAAATGGATTCAGCAGGAGACTGTGATGAGGAGGTTAGTGGGCTGTGTGTCCGTGCGAAGAGTGCTGCTGTATGTAGTCTGAGAGTGTCATTGTCTCCCCTACGTAATGGTGCTTCTGCATGTATACCACAACACCTCGATTTAACAGCTGATCGGAGCCGTCACAACTCCGAGGGTGGAGCATCCAAGATCCCAGCTATACATCCTGTGGAAGTAGGGGGCGTGGCGGGGAATAGCAATGTAGTCACAGGTCGGATGATGCCGGTTACTGCTCCTGGACCTAACGAAGATCCTGAGGACTTGAACCAGGAACGATCTTCAGACCACCAGAGTTGCCGCTCCGCTAAGGCAGTACCTCTGGAGCGGACTGAGGGTTCGTGTCCTCGAGAGGACCTAGTTAGGAAAGGAGCCTGCAGCATCGATCGCGCTGCTACAACCAGGCCTGACAGCACAAAGCGTGGGACAAGAGTTGATTATTTGGAACCTCCCTCATTCTCACTCGGTCTTGATGAGCATGATGACGGTTGCGATGAGGAGGTGGTGACCCATGCAGAGGCCTCCAATCTGTGCAATGTGGAGACGGGTGATGTCAGCGCGGAGGGGCAAGGGAACAGAAATTCGCAGCTTCCTCAGCCAGAGCCAGTTGTTGGCCCAGCTGATGGTGATGCCAGCGTGGACAACGTTGGCAGTGTGTCTGCGCTTATGAAAGCACAAGCGTCAGGAGAACTGAACCTTCTTGATATGGGTCAGAAAGTGGATGATATGCTGATGAGGCCAGGTTCAACCCCATCAAAAGGCCTGCAGGGTGGTAGCAAGAGGGGTTTGCCGCAGGAGGACGATTTCCCCTCGTTCTCCCTGGGGCTTGACGACGAGAACGAGGGGGAGGAGCATGCCGAAGAGGTCTTGCACCCTCGTGGTGCAGTGCCAAGCACGGGCGCTGCTTCTGCGGGCACCAATTGTAACCCAGAGATAAAGGGGCGTGAGGTCTCGGCGGATCTCGGTCGAAAGGCAGATCCGCCGACGACAGTGGCAACGGGACGGAGTGATCGTGCACCTGGTGACTGCTTGGGAAATCCCCGGGTCAGGTGGCTTGCAAGTCCTGACCCAAGGTCTCGACAGCCCGATGCCAGTTTGGGAAGAGTACCTCTCGTGGGCGACGCATTCTCTCCACATGGTGAGAGCATTGGGAGCCGTAGCGTTCAGAAGCAAACCCCTGATTCTCAGTTTACGAGGGGTGGGGCATTGTCATTTCGTACAGCCTCGGCTGACGTTTCCGAGCTCGCTTCTTGCGCTAGGAAAGCCACATGGGAAAGGCCGGATAGACAGACCCAGGGTGGTGGTGGGGCACAACTTGCTGGGAACAGTAGAATCCAACCTGTGAAAATGCAACCGCTTCTCCTACCTGAGGAGGAAAGCGAGGGCAAAAAGGCACCAGAATGTTTTGAGGCTTTGGACGTCGACAAGTACGGATTGTTCTGTGATGACGACGACCACGAGGAGGAAGATGAGGAGCTTCTGAGTGTTGTTGTTAATGGCACTTCGTTTAGCGGCGGAAGTGGCAAGAGGAGGGAGTCTGCGACCGGAAGCTTAATGGCATCTGAAGCCCTTTGCCAGTATGACTCTTCTGAAAATATGGATCCTGCAAATGTGAGTAGAAAACAACCGGGCAGTACGTGGGAGGGACGGGGAAGGAGGGACTGGTGTGTGGAAGACACTTGCGGAACCGAACACAGTTTACATTCCCAACGCATCAGTGTGAAAAAGAGCGCAGTGGAGGAGGGTTCGATCTGCAAAGGACTGTTTAGCAGTACTTCACAGTCGATAGGTGTACCCAAGGGGCGTGGCAAACCGATGGGACGTTCATGCATCTCTCTCGACGATGACAAGCATGGGAATCCGGTTGTCGTTCTGGACACAAGTGATGAGGACGAACAAAGAAATGATCACATAAAGTTTGTGAGGAGGCCTTTGAGGGAGACTGGCGGCATTCAGCAATCGCAAGTGACCCAGGAAGCGAGGGATAAGTGGAAAGCATCGCCGACTGGACGGACAGCTCATCCAAACGAGCCTGGAAAAGGTGGTGGCTGTGCCCTTGACGAATTGCAAAACAACAATGGACGGTTTGCCGGGTCTTTAATTGATGAGCCCCCCGACGGAAGCGAAACGTCGAGCCGCGGAATGAGCTCATTGGTGACGCCTGGGAAAGGGAAGCTCAAAAGGCTTCGGAAGGTCGCAGACGTGCGAGCAGAAGCAGTTTCGGCGGAGGGACTCGGGACGTCTGGACAATGTAAAGTCAACAGTGCTCTCCCTGATCGCGTTGACCGTGTGAGGGATGCAGGCGCAGAGTCGAGACATGAAGGACTTGGCCAACTTAGTGACACATTGACTGAGGAGGTGTCAGAAGCCAGCGCTGAAGCTGGACCTCCTCTAAAGCGCGGCAGGAAACTAGGGCTTCAACCCGAGTTTGCTGTAGTCGATGAGCTGAAGCGTCAAGTGAGGGATGGCGTTCCTACGCCGGATCAAGCGGAAGAGCATGAAGAGGATGACATTGAAGAGTTTTCCTCACAGGAAGGTACGTCGTCCTGCCTCGTCTTACACAGCCACTGCCTTGTCAAAATTGGGCCAACCACTATGGACACAAAAGATCTGTCGCGGACTGTTGGATCGTCAATCCAACGGACCAAACGAAAAAAGGGAAAAGGGGGAGGCACATGGTGACCGCAGCAGTCGTGATAAATGTAACGTAGGGCTCAACATTCGTAAAGTCAGTAAGGAGATCAGGAAAGGCAGTGAGTGACTCTGTGTAGAATGGGGGAAGTTCAGTAATAGTCTGCGACTATGCGCTGTGGTTCTTTATGCCAATTGTTTTTGCCACCCATGTTTTTTTCTGGAAGATGCTTGAGGCCTATCTCACACTTTCTCCTGTTGGACAGGATCTGGCCGTAGTTGTGGTCACGTGTTTCCCAGAAAGTCAGTGTGTGAGTACGAAAAGACCATCTCCTGATGATATCTTCCCTTCTCCAAGTCAATTGATATCTCAATCGTGTCCATGCCTTCCTCCCTTGTCACAATCATTCATGAAGCTGAGGGAGTTACAGACTTCTGTGTGATTCTGTTCTCGTATGTGACCATCTTCCAAAACTTTACTTCATTATTTCTCAAGTGTCCCCTGTTGCTTCTCCGTGGCTGCAGTTGCTAAATGTTTGGACATGTGGATGATGCTCTGTGTGTGTGTGTGTGTGTGTGTGTGTGCGCGCGCTTGTGTTTGTGCGTGCACTGTTTACAATGCTCAAGTGTTAATTATATTGTGTGTCTGTGTTTGTTTGTGTTTGTGTGTTTGTGTTTGTGTGTTTGTGTTTGTGTGTGTGTGTGTGTGTGTGTGTGTGTGTGTGTGTGTGTGTGTGTGCGTGTTGTTTTAAAAGACCCCAGATTTTCTCTCTTATTCCCTTCACAAATCATCACAAGTCATCCATAACGAAAAAGTATAGAAGGGCAATATAATAGATTGGCCATGGTTGTGTGGTTCAGTGCCAAGTGCCCACACACCCGTCTGCTGCCAACGTGGCACACTTGCACATATACATATGTATACATATATACCATAAGGGGATGGAGGGCAGAAGGCAACTTACCTTAAGACAGAAGACAACTCCAGCGAGAAGGCACCGACCCGACCCCCTCAAAGGTCCGACAAAACTTGGAGAGCCTTCCGCATTGGCCCACAAAACCAAAAACTCATTTACCAAAAAGAACCAAACATAACAGCATTGGCATTCCCGACATTCATCTCAAACTACACACTCGCGTCACTGCTAAATAGGAGGAAGAAGATAAGAGACAACTTACCTAAGACAGAAGACTCCTCCAGCAAGAACGCACGAACCCCCCCCTGCTAAGGGTCCAAAAAAACTAGGAAAGCCTTACACGCCGGCCCACCAAACATACATTCCCCCCGAAGAGAACTCGTGGCCACCCGTAAACATCCAAACAGCCCATGCTCTAAGGCAGGGAAAAGAATTAGGCCGTGTATAATCAACAAAACCAACAAGACATATCCAACCACAAAAAGAGAGAATAGCTCGCTAGTACGAGCCCGATCCTAGCCGCTCAAATCTGCCAAGACCGAGAGCTAGCAAGACCGGAATGTGTGTTGTTTTAAAAGACCCCAGATTTTCTCTCTTATTCCCTTCACAAATCATCACAAGTCATCCATAACGAAAAAGTATAGATGGGCAATATGATAGAAAATGCAAAGTTGGCCACTTTTGTGTGGTCCAGCGCCAAGTGCCCACACACCCGTCTGCCGCCAAAGCGGCACACTTGCTCATATACATATGTATACATATATATTTCAAACCATAAGGGGATGGAGGGCAGAAGGCAACTTACCTAAGACAGAAGACTGTGTGTGTGTGTGTGTGTGTGTGTGTGTGTGTGTGTGTGTGTGTGTGCGTGCATGCACTGTTTACAATGCTCAAGTATTAATTATATGTGTGTGTGTGTGTGTGTGTGTGTGTGTGTGTGTGTGTGTGTGTGTGTGTGTGTGTGTGCGTGTGTGCGTGCACTGTTCAGAAACTTACAAAAATAGTGAAATTACCCCACTCCACCCTTTCCCTTGTGTTGGCCAGGGAACCTCCAACAACATCAATTACTCCTCTGAAGGAGGGTTGACTGAAGGATAGGCCCATAGGCCCCATAGGGCCCATACACATGAACAAACCCCTAATTCTGACCACTTACACTTCCCCCCCCCCCCCAAAAAAAAAACGACCCCCTTATGTTTCCCCCCCCAAAAAAAGAGCATGAAAGCAAAATCTAAACTTTTCCTCTTAGTCTACTCCTAAGTACCGTCTGACCTTACCTAAAAAAAAGAAAAAAAAAGAAAAAGAAAAGAGGGTCTACTCCTAAGTACCGTCAGACCTGCGGTTGGGACCTTCAACAGCCTGGGCCAATCTTCTTTGCGCTAAGGAAGAGCGCCTCCGGCCGAAAATTGCACAAACCGCCATAATCTGCTATGCTTCTGACTAAATCTTCAGAAGTTTTCCGCCGAACCTCCTCTTCCTGTGATGATGTATTGCTTGACCCTTGCTGCCCCCTCCTCCTAGTTTGATGCCTGGCCATGTTAGCTTGTTTCGCCATCCGTTTCATCTCGTCTCCATTTGCTGCCGCACTCCACCCCGGCCCCGCTCCCCCCCTGGCACCCCGTGTAAGCTGTGTCTCTTGGAGGGATGATTTCCCCCCCCCCCCCCCCCCCCTATTTTTGAAGTTATCGGTATTTTGTACCTGTTATCATGACTCCGTCAGTTCTGATCATTGCATTATTGCTGGGTGAATGTGGTTCATCGAAGCACAATGCACTGAAAAGACGAAGAAGGAAAAACGATGGATGCATGATATTGGTTAGGGAGGCCACAAGTTTTTCTTCTCTTTCTATAACGAGTCAAGGTAACAAATGTGTCCTGTCGTTTTTACAGGCCATTGCGGGGCCCACAGCTTTCTTGGGAAGGGTCGAACACCCCTGAGCAAGTTGTCGAAAACCGACAACAGATTGGAGCATGGCCGTGCGGAGGGGACCGATGGCCGCGTTCCCCGCCTTCGCGATAACCGGCCTGTGCTGTTTATCGGGCCTAAGAAAGGTAAATGCAGTGCAGATGATCCAGTAGTTTCGGTGCAGAAATGGGTCCCCAGGACAAGCGTGTCTTCTGGAAGAGGAGAGGACGCAGGTGTGGATGCGAGGGAAATTCCATCTCCAAAGGGTAAAAATGGCCCGGTGTCTGCCTCAGGAAAAGACAGAATCCACGATCTGGAACAGAGGATTTGGGAGGGAGCTTGTCTTGATGAATGCACAGGAGCACATGATGGTGCAGATGGTGGGTGGCATGCAGAGTGGGCTGATTGGGACTCCCAGGGCTATATCTTGCCAACGACCGCTCAAGGAGATTGTGATCATGTTAAGGATTGGCAGCGGCAGCAGCAGCAGCAGCAGCAGAGGGAGCAAGAAGCTGTGGAGAAGCTGCTAAGGAAACGGTTTCCTCATTTTGTGCCAGTCAATCTCTTGGCACGAGATGGTGTCTGGCATGGAGAACCTGTATTTATTGATTATTGGTGGGCACCTCCCTTCCCCCTCCCCGTTCTTCTTCTTCTTCTTCTTCTTCTTCTTCTTCTTCTTCTTCTTCTTCTTCTTCTTCTTCTTTGTCCTCGTCTTCGTCTTTGTCTACTACTGCTCCTCTTTCTCCTCCTCCTCCTCCCTCCTCTCCCTCCTCTCCCTCCTCTCTCTCCTCTCCTTCCTCTCTGTCCTGTCCTTCCTCTCTTTCCTCTTCTCCCTCTTCGTGAATTCTTCCTTGCCCACTTCACGAGTGTTATGTGGAGAATTTTGGTCCATAATATGGCGATAACTAGTCTTCCCTCCTGGACATGGTCCAGATGGGCTGCACTGTTTGATGTTGTTTTAACCACCACTCGCGCTGAGGGACCAAGAAAATTCCCAGTTGGTAAATTGTAGCCAGGCTCAGAAAACAGGCCTGGCACAGGTTCGGCTGGTGTGCAAATTGTGAAAAAAAAAAAAAAAAAAACTCCCCGGTCAGGTCCAGTTGGGATACTGGCCCAGGTCCAGCAACAAAAAGTGAGTTGCGGTTGAACGTGAGGAGCTCTTGATGGAATGCCTCCGTACGTTGCCGTATCGCTGATGTGTCTATCAGAATGTGGCTGTTGACCCCCCCACCTCCCCTCCCCTCCCAACAAAAAAAAAAAAAGCGAGAGAGAGGGAGAGAGTGTGCAATGAGCCGTGAAGGTGAACATTTGGGGGGTCACGTGTCACATACGTGTATTGAGGTACAGCGTATTCAGCACTATGTATGTGTGTGGCTTCTTGTGTCCAGTTGATTATGTTGCAATAGTTTGGAGAAGATCCACATTATTTTTCCTCTAAGCACTATGTATGTTTCACCTGTGTATATTGGATGCAGACAACAGTATTTATCGCGATGTGTGTTCCACATATGTGTGTTGAGATACATTGTATTCAGCACTATGTATGTGACTGGCTTCTTGTATTCTCTCGTTACTTGTTACAGTGGTCTTGAGCTCCACATTGTGGTTCCTCTCTCTCTCTCTCTCTCTCTCTCTCTCTCTCTCTCTCTCTCTCTCTCTCTCTCTCTCTCTCTCTCTCTCTCCCCTTCATTTTGTCCAGGAATGGTTGAATGAAATACATATAGGATCCGCTGAGGCTTGTACTTTCTTGGATGTATGCGACCGTAGTTGTGTCCAAATTCAGTCACGAGCCAAGCAAGTTTCACAATCAGTTTTCTGAACTACTGTATAGTTAGCAACAATCTACTGATCTCCTAGTCAGGTGTCCTGAATCTGAAGTTCTTAGGACGTTTCTGGATGCACACCAGGGACTTTTCTGGATGAATTGGCCCAGGATTACAGCCACATTCAGTGGAAAGAGTACTGGGGTGAGTATTCTAGATGCCCGTAATTTTTCACAGTACCTAGTACCGACAGAGTTTGAAAGTTCTTATTGCAGATCTAGAACATCTATTCCTGCACAATTGCAAGATGTCATATAATATTTTTTTCTTTCGTTACTTCATTATAGTTTTTGGTACCATTCAGGCTATGTAGTCTAGTGCACACCTTTATTGAAGTTTAGAACTGGGTAGCACTGTGGCAGTTCTGTTTGACAATAGATATATATGACGATATATATATATCTAGTGCCAGCGGCGTGTCTGGAGTGTATTTTTTGGCTGTGACAGACCTTTCTTTGTTTCGTGGATGTTTTGCTGGCTTGTGATGGGGTGTGAACCGACAGTCTGTAGAGTTTTCCATCTGGTG